GCCCTTCTGACCCCTAAAGAGGAGACAAGAGAGGTGATTCAAGGGGAAAAGGGAGGCTGCAATCCATCCCTGCTGACACTCCCTTCTCTAGGGATCAAAGTCATTTAAGAAAAGGCCTCATTTGAATTTTTCCCCTTGGACTAAGATGAATGCTCTGTATTTCTGTAGCCCTATTCCTTAATAGTATTCTGAGGGAAGAGGTTTCAGTCCACTTTTCCCAGGCAATGTTTTGATGCAGAACGCACCATTCAATTTTAATAACTCTGCATTGCTAGAGAACTGGATGGATGCTGGTCAGACAAGCCAAGCCAAATGAAATCTGAGCAAAATTCTAAACTCTAACATTTCTTTTGGCTGAAATGAAGGTGCCAGGTCAGGCAGTGGCTGTGACATTACTGGGATGGACATTGGGGAAGGCACTGGAGAGGCCACATCAGGAGCAAAGTGCCCCTGGGAAAGAGCTAAATATAAATATAAATATAAATATAAATATAAATATAAATATAAATAGCAGCCATGTGGCCATTATACAACTGGAGCAATTTGTTGTCACACACCCATTATTGAGTGCAATCTGAATTTCAGTGGAGTCAATCTAATAGCAAAATATTTACGTGGGTCCCAGCAACAGAGCTGCAGCACTTTGGGAAATGGTTTTGTGCTCTGGATAGAAAAGGCATTAAGATAAATAAACTTAGCATTGCTAAGTATTACAGTAAACTTAGCACCTTAAAAGGAGTCATTAGGTAGGAATTGTTAATATTTCATCTGTTGGCAATGAAACTAAAGCTGTGTAATTCAGATATAAATCATAACATGCAAGTGTGTGGGCCTTAAGAATCCAGGAAGAACATTGGTTTTATGAAGCCTCAAATTCTATTTTAATAATTCCCCAAACAGTGCATTTAAACATAAGTCAGCATGAGAATGAATATGTATTGGCTAATTAATTTAGAATACAAGAGTGGCAGCACATACCGGCCAAGAGTCTGTTTCACTTCATTTGGTATGTGTTTTGTACATTGAATTAGTGTTCAGTTCTTACAGTTTATGTTTTCTAGTTCAAAAACAGAAGAAATTTCCTGTTCACCTGAGGGAATCCCTATTGTTTTCTTGTCCTATTAGGCTAGGAAAAGTCTTGGTTTTCTGCTGTTTGAAACCTTTTCTTGGGTGAGTTTTTCTCTTTTTATTGGACAAGTTATTCTAGTAGGTTTTTAATGCAGCCAGTGCAAGCAGAAGGTGTACAAAGAAAATGAAAAATTACTGTCATTATGTGACATCTCTCTTATGGCTTAGCTGGGGTTTAACTGAACAGAAAGAAATATTTTACTTTGAATTACTAATTTTCTGTGTAGTTAAATTCTTTGAAAGGGAGCACTAAATCTGAATCCTTGAATTCCCAGCCACTTAACCAAGTGATAAATACAGAACAAGCTGGTTAACTTTGGAATTTTGTTCCTGAGAGCAGAGCTGTGCTTGGTCTCTCATCTGAATTTAGTGAGAATTGATTTTACCGAGGTTGCTGAGCAAACCTTAGGACAGGTTTACAGTCAAAATCCTCTCAGGTGAGATGAGTGTAAACCCTTGGAGATGTGTAACTTCAAATCCACTTCCTACACTCACTGACATGTAAGAGGAGAGAGAACAGAAAAATGCCACATATCCACCTGATGGAGCTGCTGGGAAAGGCTGATTCTCAAAGCATGGGTGAAACAAAAAGCTGTTTTCAGATTTCTTCCTGAAAAAGAAAAGCTGTTAAGTGCACTTAGATCTCATTCATCATTTAACCTTCACTTGCAGGAAGTGGGATTTGAAACACATGAGAAATGCATGTTCTTAAAATACCAACATCCTTAGAGCATGGGATGGGGCAAAAATGCAAATTCAGTGACCTCACACCAGTGGTAGGTACGTTTTAATGAAAACATTGCAATTTTACTCTGAATAAGCATCTCTTCTAAAATAACAAGCATGCATATTTGCTCCTCTGTGGCAAGCAGCTGCTCCTCCAGGGCAGGAGGGCTCGAGCTGGCTGCATTCCCCAAGCCATGGCACCTCCTGCACTGTCCAGGTGCCCAGCCCTCCCTGGCACTGCCACCTGCATTGGAGCTGCTGGCAGTTGTCACTGCCCTGTGCAGGCAGGAGGAAGGTATTTCCTACTAAAAATGAAAATAAAATAAAAAAATATGTATAAAAGCAGGCATATCGAGTGTCCATGGCAATGCCACTGTTTTTCCCACTTGCTCAGCTCCACCCTTGGCACCTTTTGGGCAGCTCCTCCCCAGGTTCTCCTGCTCCTGCTGTGCTCTCCCAGGAGCTCCAGTGGCCCCAGCAGCTGCTGCTGCCCAGGGCAATGGTGCTGCTGCTTTCTTTCTGGATTTGGAAATCCTTCTGTCCTATAAACAAGCAGAAGTGCTTCAATTCTTTCAGTTCTGGTGCAGAAAAGAATGTTTGTAGCTGACTGCAGCAGGCAGCCCTAGAGTGGCTGCACCCAGAGGAGCAACATCAGTGCTGCAAACCAGACAGCTCCACAGGGCAGAAACACTTGTATATGTACATATATATATATTTATATATGGGGCTGAGCTGGGCTGGTTTATTCCACTGGGCAGAGTTGGAATGTTTTATTCCATTGGCTGGGCTGTTTTATTTCATTAGACAGAGCTGGGCTGGTTTATTCCATTGTGCAGAGCTGGGGCTGTTTTATTCAGCCTGCTCTGAGCTGAGGCAGGGTGGTTCTTAGGGAATGAGCTGCCTTGTGTTCCAGGGAGCTCCAGAGCTGGCTGTTAGCACATTAATGATCATATTAATCATAATAACCACGTTCTGTCAGGATGGTGGCCCTGTAGCACAAAGGAGAGCAGTGTTTTGTGATGATAGAGCCTTGCAAACTGCCCTGGTGCATGAGCTCAGACCTGGAATAAACTCTAACTAAAGCCTGGCAGAAGGCAAGCAGGAAGCTGGACAGTTCAGCTTGAGCAATGCTGTTTGCTCCAGTGTTAACAAAATATAGAGAATTTATAGGCAAAAAGGTAATTCACACATACTGTGCTATTTAATTAATAAAACCTGCAAATATTCCTCACCTTAACTGAGTTTCAGTCTACACAGAATTGCAGTTTACCCAGAATTGCTGTTCACACAAACCTCTGTGTGCTACTGTGAGGTTTTGGTCAATAATGCTGACTCTGATGACTTGTCCTGCCCACTGTGGAAGCAAACCTCATTTTATTTTATTTTATTTTATTTTATTTTATTTTATTTTATTTTATTTTATTTTATTTTATTTTAATCATCCCAGCAGTCACAGCTGTATTCCCAGACTGTGCCAGCAGATACAGCCACCACCAGTTTGCCCCTTGCAGGCAGGATGCAGTGACAGTTTCTGGGGTGCTCCAAACCCATTTTGGGAGTGCTGCCTGCATGTTTCATTTTGATAGCTGACATATTTTCCTGCCTTTGCACATTGTTAGCAGCTGTGGTGTTATTTATGCAGTTTGATGGAGTTTGTGGCTAAGCATGACACAGTGGCCCTGCCAGATAAACACTGAGTGTTGCTTTTGACCCTCAGTTAGTTCCAGCTGTCCCCTTTGCAGAGGGTTTTTTTCCCAGAAAAACCCCAAATGGATGAAAAGTTATAAATACAAGGCTGTTTTGGTAGAATGTGAACTACTGCCATGGAAGAGATTCCCTCCTCTTTCCTCTTAGAAGGACAGAAAAGTTCTCTCAATTATTCTTTTCCTGTTCATCCTGTGTATTCTGTGCACCTTATGTGATGTGTTGGTTGGTGTAAGCAGAAATGTTCACTAATTGCTCATTTTAAAAATATTTGTACTCTTGAAGCCATGTGGTAAAGCAGTTCACTATTCCATGCATATCTAGTTTATAGGCACAGAGGAGAGTGATAAGCTTTTAGTGTGAATTATTTATTTCATTCTGGGGAAACAAGAAATATCATGTAGGAAATTCCATGAGAGATGGCAGAGTGCATTTCTTCTGATTATTCTGCATTCGTACAGAATGGTGGTTGTCTTTTAAAACACTGAAAAGCTCAGTACAGGGGAAATATTCTAAAATTATGTCCAAAGGACAAGTTCTGGAAATATCTTAGAAATTTAATCAGAAATATTTAGAATCATGAAAGAGATCAAATTTGGGTCAATATGAATGTTCAATAAGCATCCATTATTTCAGTTCCACACAGAATACTTTATCATTGTTCACCCTCCAGGAAATTCCATAAGATTTAAAATTATTTTGCTGATTATATTGCCATTCCCAGTCCATCTTTAACTGTATTCAATCAGGGATGCATTCAGTGTCTGCTCTGTGTAATCTGGGTGCTTTTGAAGCTCCTGAACCTGAGGAAGAGGGGTGAGTTTTCCTGCACACAGGAACGGTCCTGCCAAGCCCCCTGGGACACCGAGAGATGCTGATGGGCTGTAAACTCACAGTGAGAAAAGAGTTGTTAAAATAATACAACTGGTGTTCATCTCCATTTATTAAAAAGTGTAGGGGTGTAAATCTTCTTTCCATAAGAGCTGAGAATTCAGTGGGAAAACAGAAAGTTAAATGATTTTTAAAACTGTGGAATCTGCTCTTCACATGAGCAGATGGCAGCAGGGTGGAAGTTTGTGCCTGTGTTCACAGGGGTTCTTGGATGAGGGAAGAGACGAGGATCTGACTCCATGTTTCACAAGGCTTGATTTATTATTTTATGATATATATTACATTAAAACTATAGTAAAAGAATAGAAGAAAAGGTTTCATCAGAAGGCTGGCTAAGCTAAGAATAGAAAGGAATGATAACAAAGGTTTGTGGCTCGGACAGAGAGCCCGAGCCAGCTGACTGTGATTGGCCATTAATTACAAACAACTCTGTGAGACCAATCGCAGATGCACCTGTTGCATTCCACAGCAGCAGATAACCATTGTTTACATTTTGTTCCTGAGGCCTCCCAACTTCTCAGGAGGAAAAATCCTAAGGAAAAGATTTGTCAGAAGTTGTCTGTCCAAACTTCACCAAGCTTTTTTATGGACAAAAATTAAATCCAGCTCTCCTGAGGACCCAAATTTTGGGCTTTTTAGCACTGACTATTCAAACCAGCCCTGCCAGTGCACATTTGTTGTGGAGGAGTTTGCAGTTTCTGCCACGGCAGGGAAGAGCTCACAGTACCTTGTGGGTTTTGGGGATGCTCCTCCTCAGCCGCCGGCTCCCGAGGCGGAGCTGGCACACCAGCTTTTTGGAGAACTTCAGAGCCCACGCCACTAGAAGGAGGGTAATTACTGCTCCAGCAATTAAAATGAGGTCTCTCCAGAAGAACTGGAGACACTTGGTCGGGAGAAGCCTGGTGCAGACACCCAGGTCATTCCCAGTCAGCTGCCCCAGGGGCTTCATCCTGAGTGGAGCGGGGCTGGCGCAGCGCAGCCGGGCGAGCGCGGGCGCAGAGAAATCCTGCAGCCACAGCTTCAGGTACAGGATGTGACAGTCACAGTGCCAGGGGTTGTCCCACAGCCGCAGCTCCTGCAGGTGGCCCAGGCTGTCCAGGGCCCCGGCGGGGATGGAGGCCAGGCTGTTGTTGTGCAGGTGCAGGATGCGGGTCAGGCGCGGCAGGGCGGGCAGGGCGCGCAGCCCCCGAGAGCTGCAGTCCACCCCTGTCCCCCAGGGCTCCCCCAGGGACCAGCAGCTGCACTGGGATGGACAATCCTCCCCCAGCACCGTGGGGAGCAGCAGGGCACAGCCCAGCACGGCCAGCAGCTCCATCTCCAGCTGCAGAAACAACAAGAACTGAGGTTTATTAGTGTGGTTCCACAGCAGCTATTGCTCGCCCAGGTTTAGGTTTGTGGAATAAAATCTTTGTGGAAGAGGTTTTACAGTGATCTCTGTGAGCCATCGAGAAAAGTTTGACAAGAGGATCCATGTTTACCCCTGAAAGAATTCCCTACCAAGGTTGTTGACATAGAAACCAAGAAAGAAAGAAGAATAAATAAGTGAAATCTGCAACTGCCTATTCCAAGAAGCACTTTGCTTGTCTCTCATGACCAGTGAGTGAAGTGTAAACTTATGAGCTTTGTAAGAATGCAGAACAAGCATGCATGCTAGAATAAAAACAGGGTTTGAAGCCTTCTGGAAACAGAGTGTGCTGCTTTGTATTGTCCGATGACAAATCTTTAGCTTTCTGTATGTCCCACAGAACCACCCTCCCTGTGTTCGGCACAAACAGTTGAAGACAGCACAGTTCTTCCCTTTTCTCTCTGGTTATTGTTTTCCACTCATAATTGTACAAAATTCTTTCTCTGTATGTCCCACAGAATCACTCCACAACTTCAGCACAAACACTGAAGACAGAGCACAGTTCTTCCCCGTCCTCTCTGGTTCATTGTTTTCCCTTCATAATTGTACAAAAATATTATTGATTAAAATTCTGGGGCAGAATGTCACCAGGAGATGATGGGAAAAGCCAGTTTAGTTTTAGGTAAAGGTTTCTATTCTGCTTTCATATTGTCATAGATCAACTGTTAAAATTGTGTGTTTAAACCAGTTTTCAAAGTGAAGCTTAAGGGATTGAATAATTGTAAATGTCTGAAAACCTTCTTTCTTTCTGAAGCTGAAATACTCATCTTAGCCATCTTCTATGTCTTTGTCAGTGAGTTGACAAATACCCTGTGGTTCCTCTTTGTGTCCTGTGCCACCTGTTGCTTATTTTCTTTTTCATGTGTTCCTCTGTAACTGCCCAGACTTAACTCTGCTCTTGATAGTCATCATTTACCTTCTGTATTGTGCTTCTACCCACCTCCCTACCCCCAGTTTTTTTTTGCTAGGATGGTTCATTAACCAATTTTTGACATTGGTACATACCCTACATTTTGTTTTGTTCACCCTTAAAGCCTATTGCAGCTGTTAAGATAAACTGAAATCTAGGACTGGGTATTCTGAGTATCTTTGCTCTGAACCCAGATATTCATCTGTGATTTTTCAAGAAATCTACCAGAGCTCTTTTTCCCAAAGTAAACGTCTCAGAAGGACAGACTATGACAGCTGGCTAAAATAAGTTAATTGTTATTTATGGAAAAGAAGATGATCTCTTCTGATTAAATATAGAAGCAGCAAGAAACTCAGACTCAAAGAGAAACCAGAACTGTGTCAGAAATGCAGAAGGGAGAGCTGGGGAGGTGCTGGCTACACTTACCCTGTCTGGCCCCCGTCCCTGTGCTGCAGTGGGGCTGGCAGGGCAGGCTGAGTGCTCAGAGTCCCAGGCAAGTGTGGCAGGGCAGCTTTTCCTGTGCAGGATGGGGCAGCAGCCCAGAGCTGCTATTTATGGTTGTGCTGTGGCATCAAGTGCGTGGGGTGGGTCTGGTGCTTGCTGCAGGCAAGAGGAAATGCTTTGGGATTCTTGTTTTGTTCCTAATGTATTTTTCCTATTGCATCTGACGAGATCTGGAAAAACTCATCTGAAATTTGTGGGGTTTTTTTATCTCCAGAAAATCTCCAGGTATAAAAGTTATTTTGGGCCTGAGCTGCTGAAACACACAAGCCCCAGCAGATGAGGGAGATGAAGTTTGCCTGTGAAACTGAGTTTTTCTGTATTAGTCAGCCAGGTTTGTTTCATATCTGCCTTTTCATCATTTAATAAAAATTTTAAAAGCACGCCATAACATCAGAATAACCATGATAGGCAGGTGACATCATTAAGGGATAAAGACAGGAACAGAGAAAGGAAATATTAATGACATGGAATTGAAAGAGATGAAATTGTGTTGAAGTTACCCAAAATATAGTATTTAATTTGGGTCACTCATGTTCAAAAATGATGACTCAAACTAGTGAAGGGAAGGTTTCTGATATAGCTGTGTGTATTTCCCTGCAAAGCAGTAAATTAGGGCCATGCAAGTTTGTAATACACATGTATCTGTTCATCTGAACACAGAACGCCATGTCTGTGTGAAGGGAAAGCAAAAACAGAATTTACTTTTCAATTTGATTGTGTGAGCAAAGTTTTGGATGTAAGTTTTCCTTTGCTTTGGGTACCAGCCATGAGCACACAAGAATTCTGATGGCAGCTGGCACTTGGAAACCCAGCTGGTTGTGGGTCTGGTGTTCCATTCAGGCCAGTTCTGGGCTGTGTTGGTTTGGGGACAGGCTTGGAGCTCTGGAGCTCTGTTCTGCTTTTGGAAACAAGGCCCAGGTGAGGTTTTCATGCTGCAGATGTGCAGCAGACCTGTGGTTTTGAGCTGTCCTTTCTTTATAACTGGCTGCTCCTGGGAGGAAAGAAAATTTCTGGTGTATAAATTATCCTGGCAGCAATTCTTGGTGTCTTAATTTTCACTTATTTTTAAAGGACTTTTCTTCATTAGGTCTAATGAGTTACCAGGAGCTGGAACTTTGTTAGGAACTTCCTTAAGAAAATGCTTAGCTGTGTATCTCTGCTCTTTGGCATTTGAAAAGGCAATTCAGACAGTGCCAGGGGGGAAGACAAAAACACTTCAAAGCCTGTTAGAATTTTGATCTTTTCAACGAGGAGATGATTCCTCCTGTGCTGAGGTGAGCAGTTCATCACTCCTGTCGGGTGGGGATGGCTGTGAGTGCACTGCTCATGGTGCTGCCATTCTCAGGTGCTTCCCCTGCCTGTGGGGAGCACATCCATGATTCCACGGATGTCTGTGTGCCCTGTGCCTGCTCAGCCTGTGCCTCTGTGCCTTCAGGAGTTCTGCTACAGGATCAAAACCTTCTGTCACACAGAGAAATTAAACGCTGTGTCCTTCTGCACTGACAACATCTGGGTGGCTGGACTCCGCACTCCCATTCTGTGCTGTCCTGTCCTGGATTGCCAAGCAAATTGTATTTTATTTACCATCTGTAAGGCAGTTGTCTTCTGTTCAGTGGGCAGTTTTCCTTATCTCTTCCACAACTGGGGAGACATCTGCTGATAACAGCTATTTGAATGTCACTGCATGGCTGATAAGAACTACAGCATCCCACTGGGAGATGTGAGCCCAGAGGGAGGAGCCAAGCATTGCTGCCCAGATATAATCTGGAGATTCTGGAACACCAGCACAGCTTCCCCACTGGCTTTCCCAGAGGAACAGCAGCTGCCTCTGCCCCTGGATCTTCAGAGGAAGAGACTGCACTTTTCTACAGGATTCCTGCTCCAACAGAACCACCCCTGACACTGCAGGAGGACTGCAGCCACATTTCCAATTGGACTGCTACCAACAGCCTGACCCACAGGGTGTTGGGTTGTGTTCTGACTCTGTCACTGTTGTTTTAGTTTACTGCATTGTTTATTTTATACTTTTATTTTCTTCCCTATTAAAGAACTGCTATTTCCTGCTCCCACATTTTTTTGCCTGAGAGCCCCTTAATTTAAAATTTATAACAATTAGACCAATCCTGAAGGTGGGGGGTTACATTCTCCATTTCAGGGGAGGCTCCTGCCTTCCTTAGCAGACTCCTGTCTTTCCAAACCAAGACACATCCTCAGTTAGTCCTGTGTTCCTCCAGGTGTCCCGGGGGTGGCAGAGGTGCCCAGATGTGCCCAGCTGTTCCTGCTGAGTCCCCAGCCCTGTCTCCTGGCCAGTGCTCCAGCTCCCTGAGGAGCTCAGGGTGTGCAGGGAGTGGCTGCCAGAAGTACCAGGCATTTGCATTTCTGATTTTAGGGCTTTTTGTAGGCCGAATGAGGATTCTTCATTTAAGAGGATTTATTAAGAGCCAATTTGGGAAAAAAAAAAGTTATAATCTGCTATAATCTTGTTAGGGTATGAAAGTAATTTTTTTTCCACAGAGAGAATCCATGTGAAGTTTTTGTGAGTGAGAGAGGCTCTGTCTCCTCTCAGTGGAGAGGGATTTCTGGACACCCTCATGTCCCAAACAACCCCTGTCTCCTCACCACTCCCTTGAAGGCCATTTTCTCTGGATCAGCTCTCTTTGGAGGCCTTGGCTCCTGCAGTGAGCTCTGTGGGGCTGTGTGTGATCATTCAGGGAGGAAAAGGGCTGAGGGAGATTACTGCTCTCCTCCTGGTTCAGAATAAAAGCTGCAAGCTGGAGATAAATGAGCAGATCAAACGTGTGACCTGCTGAGAGCAAACTCAGCCACAAGATGCCATTATCTTTTCTAGTCCCTTTTAAGGAGTTCCAGGCATTTATTGCTGACAGTGACCTGTTCTTGACCAAGGAAGGCAGAAGTTTTCTCAAGCACTGTTTCCATTCCCAGAGCTGAAAAAAGTGCCCACCTCACACTGCCAATGCACAGTTTCTCATTTAAAATCCCTCACCTTGATTAATTCTGCTCTTCTGTACTTTCAAATAGGTTTTGGTGAGAGCAGACAAACCAAAATAGATTTTTGTAATTGGATGTGAGTCACTGGTAATTAATGAATTCTACAAATAAGCAAGGAGAAGGATAAAAAAAAAATCAATCACAAAATTCATTCTCACATCAAGGAATATTGCTGGCTGAAATGAATTAAAGAAAAACAGGTTTCTCTCAAAGCAAGAGCTATTATTGCCTGAAGGCCAAAATATTCCTCCTACCTCCTTCACTCTGCAGAACTGGCTGCCAAAGCCTTCTGAGCATTTCCACATAGGAGGGCTCAGAGTTTCCTCCTGTCCACATTTTTTCCTGCTGCACATTTATTGTGGTTTTGCTGATGGGGTTTTGCCTCTGTCAAATCCAAAATCTCATTTCCTCAGATTATTCCACAGGCAGATAAAGTCTTGCCATTTAGGAAATTCTTCTCCTAAATGGTACTCCACCCATTTTATCAAGAAATTCTCTCTCCTCCTGCCTGTTCTCATTGAGAACCTCCCCCTCTTTGCCGTTTTCCTCATTCACAATTTCACCAGTAATTGCTTATTTTCCCACTAGGTGTCACCCAAGTTATTTTGTTCTCAAATTCTGAGCATCCTCCCCAGTCGGCCCTTGAGCTATAATTTCTCAGTTCAAAAGAATTGCCTGAAAGAACGAAATATTGTGTTCTTTTTTAGGATATTGCTTTCCATTATCTCCAAGATACAAATAAATCCAAGGTACAAAATGTGTGTATTAAGTGATTTGTCTACATCAGAGGGCTGAAAGCACATGTTTGTGTTTTGTGGAACTCAGGGGGTTTTGAGCCTGTTAATGAAAATATTCATGGTCAATCTGGATTTGCACAGCCCTGGGCTGGGCAAGCTGGAGGCTCTGTGCCCCTCTCTGCCTGGCTCTAATGAAAAACAGGTTTTTCTCTGGCTCTTTATGCACACTGTCATTAAAAATACAATGCAGTGTTCCAGGCAGGCACAACACCACACTGCATTAATGGGAATGTTTTATTTAGGATTGGGGTTGAGCTGTCAGAGCAGATCTCCTGCTCTCTATTTTCCGTGTGTGCCTTTATATTAAATTAAATTGCAATATTCCCTCTGGAAATCCCTGGGATTGGTGCTAATAGAGGTTCAGTGGTTGGAACAGACTAAAGGGAGCCCAAAGCAGCCCCTCCTCTCCTGGAATAAATGGTTGCATGTGGTGTCCTCAGTTCCAGATGATTTCAATGTCTGTTCCAGCTGTTTGGGCCATTGGTTGCTGAATTCTCAGTGTGACAGAGAGCTATCCATGAATGTACCTTGTTCCAGGACTCTGCTAGCTCTCCAGGCAAGCCTGATAAAGGTGTTTAAGCATCTTTACCAATTTATTGAGTAACAGCTGGAGCAGGGCTGGGAAATGCATGAGACTGTTCAGCACTCTGAGTGTTGTGGTGTGGTCCTTGTTTAAGGACAGTGGTGACAAACAAAATCAGCTCAATCATCAGCTAAACTCTCCTGGTTTGAAAGGACAGGTGTCTGCTAAGGAAGGCAGGAGCCTCCCTTGAAATGGAAAA